ATGCTTCCCAATAACAACTTTGAGCAAAAATCAGATGGTCCAGGGCTGGTTTTTAACTCTGAACAGTTAAAATACACACACACACAGTTCTCACCCAAGAAAAGAACCCCAGCTAATCCAGCACCTGTATTTTCTCTTCCACCGAAATTAAATCACAGACTTTTCCCCTACCCCTACCCAAGGCAGAGCACATTTACTACACGATMAAAACAACCTTTCAAGGCACAAAAATTAAAAAACCCACGAAGTCTGTGTTCTAAAACTCAGTGGGAAGAGGAAGCACAACTGAACAGGCCAGATCTGCCAGAACTCTCAGCAGAAACAGCTCCTGTTTTTCTCCCCGGTGATGCTGCTCACATTTTAAATTCTGGCTCCATACCCCGAGTTACACCTACATTGGTATTTCTATTTACAYATAAATAGATAAACACACAGAATTCTGCAGAAGAAGGTGAGCAATGGCCCAGGAAATGAGCTCCAACCAATCCTGGCAGCTGCTGAGGGCTGGGAGATTCCCAAATCAAAACTCTGGTGCTTCTTACTGCAAAAAGGTTTAGGGTGAAGAGCTGTGAGCTCTCAGTCCCACACAACTGTACAGCTGTGCTTCCAGCACCTGCCACCTTGATTTTAAAAAAAAATTAGGACTTCAAAATATTTTGTTTGATCAGTATTACACTTAAAAGATATTTTTATAACATATGGCAAGGGCAGAATACACAGTGGTGTAGGAGGTGTATAGACAAGGAGTTTTTGCTCTCAGTCCCACACAGCTGTACAGCTGCATTTCCAGCACCTGCCACCTTGATTTTTAAAAAATTAGAACTCCAAAATATTTTCTGTTTGATCAGCATTACCCCTAAAAGGTATTTTATAACATATGGCAAGGGTGGAATATACAATGGTGTCGATTTTTATGGAAGGAGTTTTTTCTTTCAGTCCCACACAACTCTACAGATGTGCTTCCAGCACCTGCCACCTTGATTGAAAAAATTTAGAACTTTAAAAACATTTTCTGTTTGATCAGTATTACCCTTAAAAGATTTTTTAACATATGGCAAGGGTAGAATACACAATGGTGTTGATTTATATGGAAGGAGTTTTTGCTTTCAGTCCCCCACAGCTGTACAGGTGCTTCCAGCACCTCACACTCTGATTTTCAAAAAAATAGAACTTCAAAATATTTTCTGTTTGATCAGCATTACCCTTAAAAGATTTTTTTTAACATATGGCAAGGGCAGAATACACAATGGTGTCGATTTATACACAAGGAGTTTTTGCTCTCAGTCCCACACAGCTGTACAGCTGCGCTTTCACCACCTGCCACCTCGATATTTAAAAAATTAGAACTTCAAAATATTTTCTGTTTCATGAGTATTACCCTTAAAAGATATTTTTATAACATATGGAAAGGGCAGAATACACAATGGTGTAGGAGATGTATAAATGAGGGTTTTTGCTCTTGGTCCCTCACAGCTGTACAGATGCACTTCCAGCACCTGCCACCTCGATTTTTAAAAAATTAGAACTTCAAATTATTTTCTGTTTGATGAGTATTAYCCCTAAAAGATATTTTTATAACGTATGGCAAGGGCAGAATACACAATGGTGTAGGAGGTGTGTAAACAAGGAGTTTTTGATCATTGTGCACTCAGCATGACCTGCTTGACATAATTTATGTGCTAATTACCCACTGGGTTAATGAAGGATTTTCCAGGTTTTTTTATAACTGAATATATGTTTCAATATTTTGGGTAAGCACGTGAGAGATGTTTGACTTATTAAAAAATGTAAATAGGGACAAATCTTTGAAAGCTGAAATATTCCACTTGGGGAAAGAAAAACCAAAAAACAAACAGCAAAACCCMAGAGAATTTCCTCTTATRCTGCATAATTCCAGCAATCTGCTGMGTGAGAGAGATATTTCAAACTCCAATTAAAAAMCAAACATAACACACCAGTGTCTATTCACCCCTTGCACGTTTTATAGACACAACAGCCATAACCACAGGTCAATTTTATTTTTGGCAAAGCTTTTCATTTCCCTTTATCCCTTTGGGATAATTCCTGGCCCCCGAGGCTGCAGGGCTACATACCGTTGCTGGAGAGGAGCGTGAGGTGTGTGACAGAGAATGTCTAGAATTCTCCAGCCCCCCATGAATGAGATAGGCGCCCGAGCCGGAGAGGAGCTGGCTGCCCCCAATGTCCATGGTGATGCCCACCATGCTGTGAGAGGGAATGGCTGTAGGAGAGGATGTCGCTGTAGTCACCTGAGCTCCTCCTCCTCCTCCTCCTCCTCCTCCTCCTCCTCCTCCTCCTCCTCCTGCTGCTGCTGCCTGCGCTTCGAAATAGGGCGCGGCGCCGGCGGGGGCGTAAATCTGCGCCTCGCTGCTGTAGGAGTAGGCGGCTCGTCTGGCAGGGGGATAAGAGGGGACAAGGAGATGAGTTGGTGCTGGGAATTCTGTGGGTGATGGGGTCTGGGAGTTGGGTGGTTGTTAGGGAAACTCTGCTGTTGTTGGTGGGGTTCGTGCTGTTGGGATGGATCCAAAGTTCATCAGTGCCAGAGCGTAAACTTGCGGAGATTGAAGGTCTTGGAAGGGCAAAAGCAGGCACCAAATGGGGCCCAGCAGACAGGAGGGAGAGGAAATTCTAAGGTCCTGAGAGGCTCTGGCACAGCTGTGAGTGTCCCTGGATCCCTGAAAATGTCCTAGAAAAACCCTGCTGTTGTTGGTGGGACCCAAAGCTCATCAGCGCCAGAGTGTAAACTTGCGGAGCTTGAAGGTCTTGGAAGGGCAAAAGGAGGCACCAAATAGGGCCCAGCAGACAGGAGGGAGAGGAAATTCAAAGGGTGGAAAGGCCCTGGTACAGCTGGATGGACATTCTGGAAATTTCAGAGAAAAACCCCACTGTTGTTGGTGGGACCCAAAGTTCAGCAGCGCCCAAGGGTAAAGTTGCGGAGCTTGGAGGTTTTGTAGGGAATTGGGGTGAGGAAGGGCACAGGAGGCATGAAGGAGACACCAAATGGGGTCCAGCAGACAGGAGGGAAAGGAAATTCTAAGAGTGGAGAGGTCCCGGTACAGCTGGATGGACATTCTGGAAATTTCAGAGAAAAACCCCACTGTTGTTGGTGGGGTTTGTGCTGTTGGGATGGATCCAAAGTTCGTCAGTGCCTGGGCACAAACTCATAGAGTCTGGAGGTCTTGGAAGGGCAAAAGGAGACACTGAATGGGGCCCAGCAGACAGGAGGAAAAGGAAATTCTAAGGGTGAGAGGCCCTGGCACAGCTTTTGAGGTGGCTGCCCTGGATGCCTGGAAATGCCCTAGAAAAACCCCGCTGTTGTTGGTGGGACCCAAAGTTCATCAGTGCCAGAGCGTAAACTTGCGGATCTTGGAGGTTTTGTAGGGAATTGGGGTGAGGAAGGGCAAAGGGAGGCACCAAATGGGGCCCAGCAGACAGGAGGAAAAGGAAATTCTAAGGGTGAGAGGTCCTGGCACAGCCATGGGTGCCCCTGGATCCCTGGAAATGTCCAGGGCCAGGCTGGATGGGGTTTGGAGCACCCTGGGACAGTGGGAGGTGTTGGGCAGTTAAAAAGAGAGGAGTTTCAACGTCCTTTCCAACCCAAACCATTCTGCGATTCCTCGATTCCGTAAAAATCTCACAACTCCCCCTTTTTCCTCTAAAAGTGACCCTCCTGAAGCTGCCCAGGTCACCCCACAGGGGGACACCAGACCCTTTCACGGGGCAGCATTCCCTGGAGAACATTTCCTCCCCAAGGATGGAGCCTGGATGAAACCACACAGACCCAGCAGAATGGGTGAAACTGCTCCTCCTCTTCCTCCTCCTCCTCTCCTGGGGAAGGAGCCTGGGGGAGGGAAGGGCCGGGAGGAGGGATGGGGATGTTTTAGGGGGGTTCTTACATGGTTCCATTGGTGTAAACAGCTTCTCCTCCTTCCACATACTGCACCTGGGCGGGATAGACGTGCTGCACGGCCTGCACCTGCAACGGGCACCAGGGAGGCACATACACAACCTTAGCTCCATGTTCAGGCTTTGTTTTTAAAATATATAGGAAAAAAAAACCAAACCCCCCAGAAAACTTCATGGGTTGTACCTGCAATGGGCACCAGGGAGTGACAAACACAACCTTAGCTCCATGTTCAGGCTTTATTTTTAAAATAATTAGAAAAAAAAAACCCCCAAACCCCCCAAAAACCCGCATGGCTTGTACCTGCAACAGGCACCAGAGATAGCTCAGGGTAAACATCACAAACACAACCTTATCTCCATATCCAGGCTTTCTTTTTAAAATAAATAGAAAAAAAACAAAAAAAACTGCACGGCCTGAACCTGCAACGGGCACCAGGGAGGCACAAAAACAACCTTACCTCCATATTCAGGCTTTATTTTTAAAATAAATAGGAAAAAAACCCCAAAACCTTCCCAAAAAATGCAGGACTTGTACCTGCAATGGGCACCAGGGAGGCACATACACAACCTTAGCTTCATATCTAGGCTTTATTTTTAAAATAAACAGGAAAAAAAATCCAAAAAAACCCGCACACCTTGCACCTGAAACAGGCACCAGGGATAGCTCTGGGAACACATCACAAACCCAGCCTTACCTTCATATCCAGGCTTTATTTTTAAAATAAATAGATAAAAATATTCAAAAAACAAAACCAAAAAAAACCCCACAGCTTGTACCTGCAAGCACCAGGGAGGCACAAAACACAACCTTACCTCCATATCTAGGCTTTCTTTTTAAAATAAATATGAGAAAAAACCCAAAAAACTGCAGGACTTGCACCTGAAACAGGCACCAGAGATAGCTCAGGTAAACATCACAAAGCCCTGTTTTTTTTAGGAAAAAAGCCCTGGAAAAGGCAAAGTTCAAATAAATAAAAATAGTTGTATGCAAAATAAAATATTTAAAAAATATATTCAAAAAATAAGATAAAAAACTCTCGGGCACCAAACCTGTTTATGGAGCCATGTCCAGCCAGTAAATTTGTTTGTGTAATTAAAATTCCAAACACTTSGCCTCCAAAAAAATCTTGCTCGAAGGAGATTACTTTTAATTCAACTTTGATTTAATTCAGATTTTAAATGGCAGTTGAAGGTGCCCATCAAATCTTCAAATCTTTGAACCCATCAGATCTTCAAATACATGAAAGAGAACAGCAAAGGTTCTTCTGAAATTTCAAATATTTTGAATTGAGAATGACAAAATATCTTTTGTCATCTGTTTAAGAAAGGAGAGAGATGGAGGAAGCGATCCCAGGTCTCTGGCTGCCCACAACTCTTGAATTCAGATTTTTCAGAGCTGGCACAGTTGGTACAGGGGGCACAGTGTGGGTTTTGCCCCTGGAGATGTTCCTTACCTGCTGTGGCACCTGCTGCACCCTGGGCACTGAGATCTGCTGCATCTGCGCCCCTTTGGGAGCTGAGCCCGTGGCTTGGACCAAAACCCTCTGCAAGAACAAGGGACAGGGACAGACACTGAAATTCAGCCCAGAACACAGGTGAGCCAAACAAAATTCCCATTAAAAGAGGAATTCTCATCCAAAATTTTACAGACAAATGGCCTCTGACCCCAGCAGCGGTGATGCCACCTCTGAATCAATGTCCCACCCTCTTATGGGGTGCACCAGCTCCCTGAATTTGGGCAAAGCTGGATCCACAACTGACAGGAATCATCTTTAAATCCCTGAGAGAAAACAAACATTGATCATTTCAGCTGAACTGGAATTGCTCCTCACACATCCACGTTTGGCTGCTGAGTTTTCCACGTTTTCCTCCTCTCAGAGCTGCTAAACCCAACCACGCTCTGCCTCCCGTGACAAGAAATCCCAGGAAAATTCACCAGCACCAAAWCTCGGCTGGTTTTTGTGTCCCTTCMGTGCCACCRAGGGCACAGGGACGTTTTGTGGTGCTGGTTCTGTCATTTCCACCATCCCTGTGTCACTTTTCATCTGATTTGAAGCTGTCACACATCTCAGAGTGCTCAAATCCAGCAAAGCTGGCGTGGGGATGTGGTGGATGGGAACAGAGGATTTGGTGAGGCCTGAGGAACAGATCCAACATCTCCATGGCTTTTTAAACCTTCTCCTTCTCCATCCTCTGTGGTTGGAGCTCTAAAAATGCTCAGGAGGTTGGGCTGACAGAACAAAGAGCTGGAAAACAATCCCACAGGATCCTAGGAGCAACCTAGATCATTACTGGCTACCTTATCTGTGCATTTTTATGATTTTTAGCCCTCCCAACAMGCCCTTTGTAACAATCAGAAATCCAATTCTAGTGGGTTTATGATGATAATTGTGCAGATTTCCAGAAAGCTCCATCCAGGCTGGATTCTCTAAAAACCCTGCAGGAAGGGCACCCACACTGCTCTCAGCCATCACTTGGCTGCTTTTCCCTCCAAAGGGGCTGTCACCAGCGCAGGTTGGGGACATCACAAACCCTTTTTGAAGCCAAGCTGTGGCATCAAAGTCTCTTCCCTTTYTCCTGCTTTTTACCCATTCCCTGGCACTCCTTTTGCCAAATGGCACATCCCTGGCACAGCCGCCAGCTCAGCTCCTCACTGCCTGTCCAAGTGCTCTTTTCACCTTCCAATCAAAATAAAAAATCATCCCCAACCTGTAAAGTGAGGCCATTGTGCTCAAACATCATCTGCTGGCACCCAAATGGGCACCAGCCATCACCAACCCCAAAGGCTCCAGCCTCACACCGCTCCTCCTGCCAGCAGCTCATTCCCAGGGTTTTGTTTCTTTTTTTTGTCCTGGATCTCCTCTTCAGCAATTTTCCACCATCTTCTGGAATTGCTTTAATCCACAGAGCTCAGCTCGATGCTCCGATGATAGCACAGGTAAAGGCTGGATGGGTGATTCCATCATCCAAAGGGTTTTCCGAGGTCAAATTCCCATTAATGATCCCTGGGGTGCCTGATCAGCACTGTCCCCATTATTTTAACACCACCAAKGGGTGCTCTCCATGGGTGGAAAGGTTGGGAGGTGACAAAGGTGCTCCCATCACCCCATGGGAATGTCCACAGCTCCTGGTGAGTCGAATATTCCTTCTAATTCCCAATTTTTAATTGTTCCTCCTCATCAGCATCCAATGGCAGCTGCTCCTGCTCGCTTGGGATTTGGAGAAGGATGTAGCTGAGTTACACCCACCCATCCTCTTATCCCTCCAGCTTCCTGAGACAGAAATTTCTTTTGAAAGTTCCCCAAAAGGCRTAAAAAAGGAACAAAAAGGAAGCAGTTTCAATTAACCCTTCCCGTTTTGCTCTGGGTGGTTCCCATTCATGGCTTGGAGCCATCACTTATCTCCTGCTGGGCCTCCCAAGTGCCTCATATTCAGTTTATTAATCCCAAATCCCCTTTCTTAACATTAAAATGTTGGGATCCACCCAATGAAGGAGGAGAACATGGAATCATGGAATGGTTTGGGTTGGAGGGATGTTAAATCCCATCCCATCCCATCCCACCCCTGCCATGGCAGGGACATTTCCACTGTCCCACGTGGCTCCAACCTCATCCAGCCTGGCCTTGGGCACTGCCAGGGATCCAGGGGAACCCACAGCTCCTCTGGGCACCCTGTGCCAGGGCCTGCCCACCCTCCCAGGGAACAATTCCTTCCCAATATCCCATCCATCCCTGCCCTCTGGCAGTGTGACCCCATTCCCTGTGTCCTGTCCCTCCAGCCCTTGTCCCCAGTCCCTCTCCAGCTCTCCTGGAGCCCCTTCAGGCCCCAAAAGGGGCTCTGAGCTCTCCCTGGATCCTTCTCCTGTCCAGGTGAGCACCCCCAGCTCTCCCAGCCTGGCCCCAGAGCAGAGGGGCTCCAGCCCTGCAGCAYCTCYGTGKTTTTTCCTGGACTCTTTCCAGCAGCTCCAGGTCCTCCTTGTGCTGGAGACCCAAACCTCAGCAGTGCAGGGGGAGCTCAGGAATCCCCTCCCTGACCTGGTGACCTCAGGCCACCCCTCTGTGGATGCAGCTCCTCCACCCTGTCCTGCCCTCACCTCTCCCCGTGACCTCGGTGCCTTTCAGGAACGTTCCATCCTCCCCTGCTTTCACTGACACCGAACAATGACAACAGAACAATTAACCCAATCAAACACTGCGCTGGCACCAAGGGACTCCCTTTTGGGGAGTTCATCAAACCCCAAACCCCACATTTCAAACCTTGCCAGGTGAATTGGGAGCACTCAAAAGACACCCATGGCCTTYACCAACACCAAGATACCGAGATAACCACCAAGACACCAAACCCGCTACCTCAACGAGCCGAATCAAAACCCTTTCCACCACCCCACCCCATCAAAAATCTGGGATTAAAACACATCAGGCATGGAAAACAGAGCCATTCTCCATGGAAACAGCATCCTCAGCTGTGGGTACGTTACCTGCTGCGAGGCTGGCACGGGCTGCACCACCGGCGCCTGGGCTGCGGCCGACGGGTGAAGCGCCACGGCAGCTGCTGATTCTGATCCACCCTCGGCACTCTGCATGCTCCCTGCTGGGGACAGCACAGGGACATCAGGCAGGGCAGCAGGGCACGGCCATGCACCCCAAACCCCTGGGAGTGTGGAGAAAATCCCGCCGGGAAGGGACGCGGCTCCCCCGTCAATCCCGCCAGGAAGGGACGCAGCTCCCCAGTCCCGCGCGCGGGGATTTTTTTTTTCAGTCTGGTTTTAATGCATTAAGGAAAAGAGAAAGTTGCACAATTGTTGCACGGACAGGAGAGGGAAGGAACAGAAAATGCACTTCTATATTTAACCGAAAAGCGGCGTTGGAAAATTATTGTGTCACGGCGAGCGTCGTACACGATCTGGAAGAGCAGGAGAGTATTTTTAAAAAGAATGGTTTTTTCCTTCCCCTCCGCTTTATCACGTTGAACTACTGTAAAAAGGCTTTTAATCAAACCTAATCCATGCCTGGAGGTTTTATTGGGAAAGTGGYGTGGAAAGCTTGGGTTTATAATCACAAATAATCAAGGATGAAGAGCAGAAGAACAGAAATTCCCATCATTTTAGGTCTCCTTGGTCCCTCCTGCCACTGTCCCATCCCTGGGACACCGAGAAATGCTGAGATGGAGCCTCCCAGCACCTTCTGGTGTCTTTTTGGGGTGGGGGAGCCTTTTTTCCTCAGTTTCTTGTGGAAGTTCCTGTTGAATAAACTATTTTAGGAGGGTTTCTGCTGTCACTTCAAAATCAAATTTGAAACCACCCAGATTTTGGGCAGTGCCATTTCCGCTTTCTTGGCATCGCTGCTCAGCCTCAGCAACATTTTGATACCTTTTGTTTCATTTCCCTTCTCCCTCCAATATTTAAACTTTTCCCTCAATTTTGTGGAAGTTTAGAGGCAAAAGGAAAAATGGAAAAATGAGAGACACTGGACCCTGCTCATCTGGKTTAAAAAGAAATGCAAGGGGGG